CCCTTATGACATGCCCTTGGTACAAGTATATGGAAATTCTAAAGAATGATAAGTATTCTCAGCCTGGCTCATTCAATTATAACAGAGATCAGTGAAGCATTACCGTGGTATTGAAATTTACATTCTCTGATGGCATGGAAGAATTAGTCCCATAAAATGGAAGGAATGACAAAATACTCTGTTGTCCTAACACCTTTGCACAGTATTGTAGTACTGTTTTAGATATTTATGGCCTGTTTTTATTACTTGATTTTCTAATTTTCAGGTAATCTACTATATCATTCTTTTGATGTAAAACACATTAATGTAGCGTAAACTGAAACGTTTCTGCACATGGGAATTCCTGTGTCTTAACTTGTATATATTAACCCTGAAGAAGCCACAAAATGAAATGTTGGTTAAAAGTTTAAAAAAAAATATCATATATATATATATATATATATATCTGGAGTGTAACGGTCATTTTTTCTAAACTTTATATCAAAATGTCTAAGACAGTTTTATTTTTCTAACAGGGTGGATGGCCTTTGGCATGGTTTGCCTTCATATGTGGTGGATGTTGTAAATTTAAGGGAAGCTTGATAAATATTTGAATGATAAGGGCTGGCTTTGAGTGTGTTGTTTTCATTTTAAAGTTTAGTTTAGTGGATGGGATTGCCTAAATGGATCAACAGATCTGTTGTTGTCTTGTAAAACTGATCCACAAATCATAATTGTACTTTTCAAGAGCCTTTGTTGTTTTTGCTATTTCTGTATTTTAATTTCCTACTTTTTTTGTTGTTTAATCCTTGTCATAGACATTTTTCTCTTAAACCCCAAAAGATTGTGAAAGAGATTCCTTCTTCTTATTTTTATTTCCAGTTATATGTGATTCCAATGTAAAAATTCATTGGTGAGGTCAGTGGATGACATATATGGACAACCTGTGCATCTATTGTCACCTATCACCAACCATTGTAGTGCTTAGTATCTAGGGATGGGCCAGGAAAAAATTGGCCATTGCATATTATGTATAGTCTCAAATCTCTCTTATAACAATGTAAAAGACTTTCATAAACACCTAACTTAGGTTTTCAGAAGCTATTAAGACCCTCCGTTTAGCCAAAAAACATTGCTAAATAGAGAACCGGCGAGTAGAATAACAGCCAAATGTTCTACTGATTATTCTGATTCTGGTATCAGAAGGACTAGCTCACCAATGCTTGAAGTTGTTGTGATGATTTACATGCCAAAATGTTGCATTTTAATTTGTGGAGAGCAGAAGCAGTATAGCATTTCATTAGCTTAAACACATGATATCCATCAAGATAACTTATCACATCAGGCTAAAACTGTTGCCTTCATAGTGATTCTCATTCATTCAAAAAAGAGATGAATGAAAAGTAATAAAATAAAATTTGAAAAAATAAGGATGATATGGGGATAGCAATGCCAAAGAGTACAGAAACAAGGTAGGGATGAATATACAAAAGCATACAAAAATCCCTACATAAGTAGCCACTGAGTCAATGTTACAAACTCATTGTAATTAGTCATTGTAAGACTATATAGCATTATTCAGTTTAAATGCTTTTATTCAAACCTGAATTCATGCAAATGAAAGGAATTCAACATATAGTTGTAGATAAAAGTTTTCTTACAAATATTTGGCTACTTATATAGGGATTTTTGTATGGTCTTGTGTATTCATCCTACCTTGTTTCTGTACTTTTTGACATTACCATCCCACATCATCCTTATTTTTTTCAAAATTGTTTTTATTACTTGCTGTGTGTTTCATCCTTCTTGGATTTTAGTTGTCTTTGACCTGAGTCACCTTTGTAGGCTAACTGATGGATGTTTTTTAGAGTTTATTCTTATTTTTTATATAATTTTCATGTTTAATGTCTCCCTTATGTCTTGTTGGATTTTAGTGACACTTGACTTTCCAATAATCTATAAGTAGGGCTGTTAAGGACAATTTTACCATATCAATAAGTCCAAGCTAACTTATATAACAGTGAAGAAGCATGGTACTTTGTATCAAAAATTTTCATATTGTAATCAGACAACTACTTGGTAGTGATATATTAACAATAAAGGGACATCTCTCATTACATATTGTGAAGGTTCTTTTCTGGTCACTAGACCAGTATTTTTTAGCAGGCATGGCATTCAACTGTAATAATAAACTAATTGACAGACTGGAGCTCTTATTTAGACCAAATGTTTTCCTATAAAGTATTCTCTCCATCACAACTGTAAATTTTTTGTGTCACACTTTTGGCTGTAATATCAGTATTGCCTTCATCACATTTATTATAAACTTCTGATGTTTCATTCCTTAATTTTTTATTAGGAAATTTTTGTTCAGAATTATTTACGTGTCCTTATTTTTATATCCTCCTATTGTAATAATTCTCGGGGTTTTCTAGATTTTCCTAACAAAATAACAGTTTTGTTTAGTGGCTCCCATTTCAGTCTCTTTAGCACAGTCCTCTACTGTCCTGATCTTTCCTCTTATGGTAGCCTTTAATTTGTTTTATAAACATATACTACCTCTAGCAAAATCATCATTTTCTCTCCAATCATCATGTTTCTACCTGTAGTTTTTGACTTATTGGTTGATCGTCTTTTAAGTATACTATTGGGAAAGAAAAACTTGTTACTTTTGCTTTTGAGTCTTCCAATTTACATAGCGATATTTAAGACATTTTTTTTACTCTTAATCATAACGTTTTTCTTTCACATAATTTTTACTGAACTTTCCAACTTAATTCATATTTCTTGTCCTTATTATCTCCATACTTAAAATGGTAAAGTACAGAGTCAGAATACAATACCAGATATATCCTAAAATGGTAAAGTACAGAGTCAGAATACAATACCAGATATATCCTAAAATGGTAAAGTACAGAGTCGGAATACAATACCAGATATATCCAAGAATGGTAAAGTACAGAGTCAGAATACAATACCAGATATATCCTAGAATGGTACGGATATATCTGGTATTGTATTCTGACTCTGTACTTTACCATTTTAGGATATATCTGGTATTGTATTCTGACTCTGTACTTTACCATTCTTGGATATATCTGGTATTGTATTCTGACTCTGTGCGTTACCATTTTCGGAGATATCTGGTATTGTTTCTTGAGACTTACATTTTTTGGCCATGGCAGACTTTTTGATTCTGTTTATTGTGCTGTAACTTTCACACTAATTTGATATACTCTTGAATAGTCTGTGTATTTACAAAGTGATTGAAAATTTATATTTTTGATTGGATTCTGGTGTCAAACTGTCAGTAACACTTATTTTGTGATGCTTTAGGTTATTTTTTACGGTATGTCCTTTAAAATTACTTTTCAGATACATTCAGTTAGGCCAAAATTTGGCATTTCTGTGAACATTGTTAAAGTGAAGCTATTAGTCTACCAAAATGTGGCCAGCCATTGACAAAAAGAGTAAAAAATCTTTGAGATTTATACCAAAAATGAGGTTTAATGTACTTAGTAAAGCTATATTCTAGGAGAAAAACATTTTTGTTTCATTAATACTGTATGGAAAGGAGAACGTTGGAACATGATTACATTATATTGATACTTTCAAAGGGTTACATTTAAGACTGTATTCAGATGCCATAACAGTAAATGACTTGCATTTCTGATTAATACAAGTCTTTTTTAAAACCCTTTTTTGTCCATATTTACCATGAGTGTGGAACTAATAGTCTAGTAGTGTTACATTACAACTTCTGCATTCTTTACACATTGGAGGTGGAAATACCTTTCTCTCTCTATTTCAAGTTTATGTTTATTAATATGAAGCTGATAGCACTTTTTTTTGCTTTATTTTGATGTTTCAATAAACTAACTCTACCCTAGGTGGGCATATGTATTTTTTTCCTTTGAGCTATGCATTTTCAATATGTAATTTTCAATTTTTCATTATAGTAACTGTTGATATGGCTAGTGTTCTGTAATTATTAAATATGTATATTTGCTTTTTGCTCAAAACTATCACCTATCGGTTTTACTATATGTAGTATACTTTGACTTTTAGTGATTTGCTAAAGGTGATATTCTTTTTTTTTTTTTAGCTATTGTGTTTGTGTATGATTACCACCCAGGAGCTGATACTTTAATGAACCAGTACTTCAGCCAGCCAGGGCTCACAACTGCTATCAATGGATATCATCCAGCAGTGTTTAATAATGTTGATGGAATGACTAGATCATATGGCCATAGTAAAGGTGACAAAATATTTCTGTCAGAATATTCTGTTTATATACAGGTTCATATTTTTTTTAGTTGTATTTATAATATCTAAGGTTAATTTATGATGTCTTTTAACCATACTTTTAATAAGTCATTCAGTACAATATATTAAACTACTATGAGAATGCCAAGCAATGGAAGCCTTTTGTTTAAAATGAAAAAAAAAACTAGTATTATGTTTTCAAAATAATCTTAAAAATTAAGTTCATTTGATGTTGATTAACATCTGAAACTGCAAAGCATTTATCATAAACACTTTAAAAGTATGTTACAACATGTCACATTGTTTAGTTTACTATAATGTTTAGGTGGGTTGAGACAACATGCAGGACTTTTACCCGAGAGTCAGATATGGGCCTATGTTGTACAACTGAGTTCAGCTTTACGTACAATTCATGCTGCTGGCCTTGCATGTAGAGCCTTTGAACCTACTAAGATTCTTATCACAGGAAAGTCCAGGTTAGTATTTTACATAATCATTATGCATGATCTTCATGAGTGTTACATTTATGGTTTTTAGAGTTTTCCTTGGTATTTATATTTATTTTTTGTAAAGCATAGTAGTGTAAATTAAGTGAGTAGTGCTTCATTTCATGTGGGTTGAGCAGAAATAGGGCATGTATATATATTGTTTTTTGATGTCCTGTTTACATAGATATACATGTTTTTTTGTAATAAGTTGATAACACATATTGTTGTCATAGTTGAAAGTTCTTCCATATTTTTTGTAGAATGTTCTGCTTATGCCATTTTTTAAAGAAAATGTTAATTCTTTTTTAACTTCTTGTGCCTTCTGCAATGAAATAAATATCTGCCTTTTCCTTCAGTTTCAATCTCACTCCTAGAAAAATATTATAGAAGTATGTATTGCTTATGTGAAGTTTGTAACTTGTCATAAATCATACCTGTGGATCTTTTAGTTTTCAAACCCACCCTTATAGTAAACTTCTCATAATGGAAAATACAATTGTAATTTTGATAATTTAATTCTTACTTTAAATCTTAGACATCAATAGTTGTGCTTGTCTTGAGAACAAGAGATTCTCTGATACTCAAACTTTTTTCATTAGAAGCTGAAAACAGAATGTCAGAGTTCCTTTTTAATGCCTCCTAGTGGCATGGAGGTAATTCTGCATACTTATAATGCTAGATACCAGATTTTGATACCCGAGTGGACACAGCACAGATAACTCATTGGATAGCTTTGTGCTTAACTACAAAAACCTTTTTTAATAGGAAAATTAGACTCGTGAATTGTTATACAGAGCACTTGATGAGGGTTAACTAATTCTTTGATGTATATATATATATATATATATTGGTAGTGGACCCAATATAGCCTTTTAAGCACAAAAGACAAGTGTATTTAAAGATATGTAATCTGGGAATGTTATATTTACATGATAAAAAAATCTCAGAGTCTAAAATTGGTACGGAACACAATTCATACAGTAATGGGGGAAATACTGTATTCAGAAGTCATAGAAGTTAGTCTCTTAAAACAAAGGATCCTTCACCAAAGTAAAGCAGAACTAAGGTTTGGTGCTTTTTCCTTCACCTTCTAATGAAAGACACTTGCATATAAAATCAAGACAATATCTGTAATTGTTAAAGTCCAGTATGCTTCAATTACCTTATTACTAAGAGTCGAAACTCATTTGAACATAATACCTTAATTCTAAACAAAATAAGGAAAAGTTTGAAAGTGTTACATTACTTACATTAGGGTCTAATTCATGAAATTTTAACAATTTGCCTATAGTTGTAGTATTGTTTTTATACCCTTAATAATTCGTTTACATATGCCTTATTCTTTGTTTTGTGTTCCTTTAGGCATATTTAAAGTGCACATGTTTGCTGATAACCAAACATAAAGTGAGAGCGAAACTGTTTAAATGTTAGAGATAGTTGGGTGATTGGGACAAAAGGTCAAGCACAACGTAATTGGAAAAGAAAGCATGATGATAAGTTTCTTTTTATTCTGTGTTAAGTGTAGGAATTTACATTTTGATGTTACAACAACTGTGCACAGGTTGGTAGGCTGAATGCTAGGTTATGCCATTTTGGCTGAAAACTATGAATAAATGTACAAACTTTTCTATCTTTTTTCTTTAATTCTATAATGTTATTCTTAATACTTGACCAGGAATGAAAACTGCAATACATTTGTAAGTATAAAAAAATGTAGTTAAAATTTTGCATATAGTTTGCAGTTACTTAAGCTAAGAAGTGTATTGTTTGAGATCATGAATAACGGAGCACCTTATGCTGATATAACAGTAAGTAAGCAAACAAAAATTTATAAGCTTAAGGAAGTGATTTATTTAATGCATCACATACCACATGTTTTGACAGAATATTTGTCTGTTTTATTCTATCCCCAGGGTATAGTAATCACCACATAATGTTATGACATTCACAAATTGAAGAAATAATTTATAGGTACCCTTTATAACAAAAGTTATAGGTTTATTAAACATAAACGAAAAAAACTTAAATTTCAAAAACAGGTAGTACTTTTCAGCAGTACATGTTTAATTTATAGGCTGCGACTTAATTGTTGTGGGATTTTTGATGTACTGAGCTATGATGCCAGTCAGATCAACCCTAAAGATCTCATACGTCATTTCCAAGTAAGTAAACTTTATTTAGTTCTGCTTAGTATGAATTGTAAACTACATACTTATTATATTGTAAATTTCATTCTTTGTGTATAATATGTATGTTACTACCCTTAGATCCTCATCATTGAAAATACTTTGTTGGATTTTTAGTTTTTTATATGCTTTTTCATATCTAGGATTCTTATTGGAAATACTTCTTTTTAATCTGATTTTTTAAAGAAATTCCTCTGGTGAAGCAAATGTATGTTACAAATACATTATTAGACTAGAACATTCACTTAATGGCAGCTGTTGTAATTCAGCCTTCATAAGTTTATAAGTTCTAGCTCCAACCAGAATTTGTTCCAATGAAACAAATGATTTGAACCTGAAAATGAAAACTAAAGAAATTTAAAAATAAAGTCAAGAACTACAGGAAAATTGTACTTGAAAATTATTTGAACTTAGTAACTTAATGTAGTATTTTTGCATAATCCACTTTAAGTTTGTGTGAAACGAATACTGTTGATAAGAATTTTGCACAAGAAATTCCCTTTCTTAGCTAGGAATTGTGAGATTTTAATATATTGAGCCTATCATGCCCCAGTGGTTAGGGCACTGAACTAACAAAATCTGCAGGTTGTGAGTTTGAATCTCATCACCGAACATGCTCGCCCTTTCAGCCAGAGAGATATTATAATATGATGGTCAATCCCACACTTTGTTGGTAAAAGAGTGGCCCATAAATTTTAATATTGTCGATATTAAATTAGTGTTGAAGAAAGCTGTCAATTATTCAGAATTGAGGGAAGTCAAAGTAATTGTTTTTTTAATACCACATATTATTATTTATACATAATATATCATATCATAAATACACGTATATCTGTGTTAAGTATTTATAGACTAACAAATCATGCAGGTGAAGTGGTATAATTGTAACATCATTCTTTAAAGAACTGTTCCCCAGCTGACTTACATTTTAGAAACATCTTGATAGTTCAAAGGACAGTGTTCAATCTAATGCAAGTCATTCAACAAGGATGCACATTTTTAAATTTGGTGTGGTACATATTCTGCCACAGGATATAGATGAGGGTGAGGTGCTAACCTGTTAGCCACATATTTTGTGTTTTACATTCATTTTACCAATATATTGAACATATTTTGTATTTTATAAAAATATATATATATAAATTGATGTCCCCAGAGGCATAGCAGTATGCCTTTGGACTTACAACACTAGCAACCAAGTTTCAATACTTATGGTGGGCCATTGTGTGGCTTTGTACTTAATTACTAACAAAAAAACTGAATGCAACTGCTTGAAAATTCAAAAATGTTCAAAGAGTATTTATTTATAACAAAACATCTATCTTATTATTTGTGATGTGCCATCTATCTGTCAGTACATCAGTTTTTGTATGTCATGATAGCAACGTTTGATTTTCCACAAGTAAAAGAGCATTATTGATATAAAGAGAAATGTACATACATCCTTTCATGAGTTCTAATAAGTAATTTTTGAAGTATCCAAGTTTAGAAGTTCTCAGCCACACATTTGAACAACATGCCACATTATTTGTCTGTGGACAATGTCATAAAAATGAGAAAACTTTGTGTGTTAATTAATTATTATGCTAAAAATCTCTGTTAACCATAGCTATCAAATAGAACTGCTCTTGTTACAAGTGCCCACTTTTCATGTGATTATAGTTTACTTAAGTACTTACTGTTAAGTATCGGCTGTTTCACAATTTGCAGAACTTGTTTCAAATTTAGAATGATAATGTGTAGCTCTAATGCCTCTTCTTATCCAAAGCTCTGATGTTTGTCAGTATGCATGATATATATAATAAAAACTTGAGGGTATTTAATATATCTATCATAATCTAATTTATATATAACAGCATAAAATAGGGTAATATTAATATTTGTTCAGATATTTATGGCAAGGGTCCAGTTTTTTGAAAACTGTGTATAGAGCAGTTTAAATTGGTCACCCATGCATATGTACTGCAAAAAATATAAACATAGACTTATTCTAAGAGGAAAATTCACTATAGGGTATTCAAGAAGTCAATTATCATAGGCTGAATGTCTCTACACTCTTACAAACTATGCTAAAAAGTGATGCAGTGATGAAGACATTCAGTCCAGATCCCTTCCATCTGTTCATCAGTGCTCAGTGCTATTATCTAAAAAAATCAGTGAGGATGTGAGTAAACAAGAAAAACAGTGTTAAATTGACATTTGGTTTGAGACACCCTGTATGTAATATATATGTACAGACCTTGACATAAAGTTGTCTGATCTTTGTTCGTATTAATAATATGTTCAGCAAATGAATCATTAAGCCAGTACTGGTGGCTGAGTTCTCTACATGGCAATACCACATTATGACCAGTGTATAAATATGCACTTTTTATTGGTTGGTATTTTATTGAACCTCAGTGGCTTAACCAATTAGCATTCATGTTCTTTTTAACCTTATTAAGAGTTCACAAAATGGTGACTCAATCAAACAATTCTGAGGTCTCTCTATTTAAATATTTTTAAAAAAATCAGATAACTTAGAACAAAAATACAAGTCAGAAAATGTTGAAAGCAAAGAGTATGAGAAGTGGAAGAGTAGATTAAATAAATGTAGTCTTTTAAAGAGAAGCTTTGTTAATTTGAAAAGTTTACATGTAACAGTGTAAGATTTGAACTAATGTGTGCATTTGCATAAGTATATAAAGAAGAAATTAATATAATATTCTTTTTTTTTGTATGTGTAATTTAAGCAAGAAGATCTTCTGGCCTTTGGTAAAGTTGTACTGGCTCTGGCCTGCAACTCTCTAGCAGCTGTACAACGAGAGAATGTACAGGCCTCCATGGAGCTTGTTTCAAGAAACTACTCTGCTGATCTCAGAAATCTTCTCATGTTTGTTATTCTTTTTATCTCTAACATTTGTGAATTATGTTCAACTTTATTTACATTTGATGTAGATAACAGAAAATACTATTATAGTTTAAAAAATATTATCATAATATTAAGCCCATATATAAAATGCTATCATGGGAGTACAAATGCAAAATTAATAGCCACCTTATCAGCTTACATTTCATATATACTTTCATGACTAATTTTCAAATCTTTTCTAGTCAGCTTTGCATGTGTAGTATTATGTGCTGTCTTTAGAGTACTGCATTCATCTCTTACTAGTCCAATAGTCATTGATATTGTAAACATAAAGTTTACTTAATGTTTCAATATAGCAAAGTTGACGAAGTAGTACCTTGTACTAAAATGCAACATGACATTATGGACAACAAGAGTCTTTTTGGTCCATCCATGCCATCCCATCCTCTAAATCAAACTAAACACTATAATATAGCCGTCCCTCATCATTCAAATATTTATTAAGCTTTATCTTAAGCTCTTTTAAATTAACTGCATCTACCACATCTGAAGACAACACAATCCAAAGCCAACCACTCTGTTAGAAAAATAAAGCAGTCTTAGCTAAAGTTTCCTACCCTGCCAAAATTTTTATTTTTGTCTTCTAGTCTTACCATTAAATATGAAAAAAGCTGATGTTTTAACACTACTAATTCCCTTAACAATCTTAAGTACCTCAATCAGATCCTCTCTAACTCTTCTTTTTTCAAAAGGAAACATGTTCAGAGATTTTAACCTGTCCATGTTTGACAACCTTTCCATCCCAGGTATCATCTTAGTCTCCCCTCTCTGAACCCTTTCCTCAGTTCATTGTCCTTTCTAAGGTAAGGAAGCCAGGGCTGAACACATTACTTCAAATGTGGCTTAACAAATGATCTATTCAGTGTCATTATAACCTCTCTATCTGCAGTTACAACCTAAAATCCTGTTTGCTTTGCCACTAGCAACAGCACATTGCTTGAATGGCATTAGATTGTTTGCTAACTTTCTTGGGATTTTCTTGCAATTAAAAATGTCTGTTATAAAAATGAAAGACTTTTCAAGTTAGAGAAATCAATAAAACTTCTCATATACAATCTTTAGTGGGACTGGTTAGAAAAAAATGTTTAAAGGTTATGTAATAAATAAAGCAATAACAGTATTGGAACATTTCACATTAGATATTGACTAGCTTGAAAAATCATTGTGTCTTTGATGCCAAGACTATTTGTTGTGGAAACAAGGGAGCGAAAGCTTTTGAGAACCAAATGAAACTAAAAAACAATTAAGAGCCAAAGTATGCAAATTACAGTTTGTATATATATATATATATATATACCTCTGTGTGTGTGTGTGTATTGATATTTATATATTTATAATAGATATTGTTTAATTGAAGGTTTATTCATATTGTGTAATATCTTATAGGTATCTTCTTTCAAGTCAGAGTCGTGTACGTAGCATCAATGAAATCATGCCGATGATTGGTGCTAGATTTTACACTCAGCTTGATGCAGCACAGATGCGAAGTGATGTAATAGAAAATGAATTAGCAAAAGTATGTTTAAGCTTTAGATAAATCTTTGCAAAGAAAGCTAATCTGGAAATTAAATGTGCCAAAGTCACAGTTGAAAGAAAAGCTAAATTTTTAAAAGAATTATATAATTATTAAATGAAAATACATGGATTATATAAGGAGAGTAACACGGGAAAATTTTTTTAATGTAAACATATAGAGTAAAATGAATATAATGTAAAATATAGCTTTTGTTTTAGCTGCAAACATTTATGAAAAGATTGTTATGACCTCATTAAAGAAGTTAGTAACTCTGATAATAGTTGCTTTCTACTATTTGCTTGTGACAGATGTATTTTCATTTTTGCTCGGGAAAAAATAAATTTTCTCAAAATATGTAAAGTAATTTTATACTTATACAGTACACCTAATATTTCTATTAACCATTTGTGCAGTTTTAGAAAATAATGTTTTGTGATTTATTTTTTTATGTAGCCCAGTAGATCTTCATCTGAGATTTTGTTTTTAGAAGGTTCTTTTAAAGAAGTTTATTCTGGGTATAATTTACTATGTCTGTTTTTACTAAAAACCTGAATATGCATTTTTCATGATGTTTATACTTATGGATCAATATAATGAATTATTAAAGTTTTCATCATCTTCTAGGAAATTGAAAATGGAAGAATACTTCGTTTGCTTTCAAAACTTGGAACCATCAATGAACGACCTGAGTATGGAGTCCAATTTTGTTGCTAGATAAAAAAGTTGAATGTAGGATGTTATAGTATTATAACTTTCATGGTTAAAAGTTCTTTTTCAAAAATATCTAGCACTGAATGAATATTGCATTACTATAGAAAGGGAGGAATGTTTTTTATTTTTTTCAAGGATTAAATATGATATCATAAGTGGTATTGAAAATACTGGCCAGCAATGCTTTTATTATAAATTTGAAAATTTACAGTCTTAATTGTAGGTTTTAATATTTTTGTACTTATTTATTTAATTATTTTCAAGTTTGGTTATCAGTATAATTATCCATCTGTTTTTTTTACTAGCATTGTCTAATTTATTGAAATCAATTATTAAACCACCAAGCACTCTTGATTACTTAGTTTATTTAGTGGTTTTTAGGTTAACTTGTCATAAGTTTGGGGGCTAAGTGTGGCCAGTGATTAGTATGCTGGGCTGTGGATCTGAGGTTCCATTACTACCAAAAAAAAATTTTGTTGTGCACTTGAGAGCTGTGAGTGCATCATAAGAGTAATGGTGAGATATCACTGTTTAATTAGAGTATCCCATATTTTGGTGATAGATGGTGTTGGCTAGCTACATACCATCTAAACTATCACTTCAAAATTGGATGGCCTAGTACAGATAGCCTTGAGTAGCTTTGCACAAAACCCAATCACAACTTTAGTGAATTGCTCTTACAAAATCATTATTTTGGTTGCTGCTTTGTAGATTTAACATGGATCCGACGTGGGCAGAAACTGGAGATCGATATATGCTGAAACTGTTTAGAGATTACCTCTTTCATCAGGTCACAGAAGATGGCAGGCCTTGGATAGACATGGCTCACGTTGTGCAATGTTTAAATAAGGTAACACTGGAAGAGCTTTTTTTTTTTTTTACTAATTACATAATATTATTTGCTTGGAGAAAAGTAAAAAATATTAAATTAATGTTTAAGGACCAGTTAAGTTTATGCCCCTGCTGAAACAACATAGTATCTCATTTACATATCTATAAATCTCCAAAACCTTTTTTTAACTGTGTTATAAACAATCATAATTGAAGGCTGGAAAATGTGTTATTAGTATCTAAACAAGTACCATAACTTATGTAACATAACACAATAAAGTTGTATTTGTTGAGGTAGCTACTAGTATTCTAAAGATTATGAAGGAAAACTATTACTGTAACCGTGCATTGTGAGTAGAATGAATTATTTGACTCTGTAAAACCTTGATAGTCTTACATCTATATTGTGTTTTAATCACAGAAATTTTTTATTAAATAGAGTATCACCTAAATATCTATAATAAATTGTAAGCTATATATATATATTAAATAAAATCATCAGGCTGTAGGTATGACTTTTGTATGATGAAATTCGTTTTATGGAAGTGTATATGTAATATCTCATTCTCTTACAGTAAATAGTATGGTAGCAAAATTTTTATTTTGTTATATAAACAAATATATGTTAGGTATGAATGACTATGCTTCTAAAATATTCATTACCTTTTTTTTGTTTTAAACAACTCTGAAATTGATATGTGGTTACATTACACAAGGCCGTGTACATGCAGTCTCTTATTACATACTAGAAACATGCTATACATGTTTCAGTAGGAAATCTTATTTTCAGAGAAGTTTAAACAAATAGGAAAAAATATATGGACAAAGTTGGTGTTACAATATAAACTATTATAGAAAATTAAATTTAAAATATTGAAATTAAATCATGTTTTGAGTTCAAGAAATAACTTTGTATCAATGTTTCAAGGTATATTAAAGATTGGAGATCACATAGGAAAGAATCGTAATTTTGAAAGCATAATTCTGGATGTTATTTAAGTCCCTTATCTTGATAAGGTTTACCAAGAATTTTAGCAGCATTAATTATAAAAGATATGAAGGTTAAGTGGGACACAGCTTGTCCACATTGATATGTATTTATTAATTATAGATATGCTAGGCCACTGGTCATAAACATCTGAAATAACTCTTTCCATACAGGATTGGTCAATGTAACAGACCTTGTAACCATCAGAGTTTCGATACTATAAATTTTAAAATGTTTTGTGTATCCTTGTAAAATTTTACAAGCTTTCATTGAACATTACAAGTCTTTTGTAGAGAAAAAAAAATCAGATTGTTTAAATAGTATTTTTACTAAAGGCTTGTTCATGAATATATGGAGACAGAGTGTTGACTGCTCTAAGTGGAAATTCATTTTCATCTTCAGAATAAAAATACTTCATCTGAAAATTTTCAAACTTCATTTCTGTTACCTCAAAAAGCATTAAAATAAATATCAAACTTTTTTCCAATAAACTTTATATTTTATCTGTTATTTTCTCTACCCTACCTATATAGACTAGGTCGATATGACCAAGTTTGTAACTACCATAAAAAAAATACGAAATAGATCTAAATCTACAATGTTTATCCTAAATAACTTAAAACTTGTAACAGTCTACATTTGTTTATACTTGATTTTATTGTTGTATCGTCCTTTCAACCATGTCTTAACTAATTTATTTTACTTGCTTAAGTAATGCACCTCAGAACAGAGAACAATAACACATACAAAGCAAATAGTGTCCTATCTAATATATTTAAAAATCATTTGTCTTTTGTTAACACTATTCGTCTGTGTCAATTAGCAACAAAACTCTGACCTGACAATGTTCTCTTATGTATATAATGCTTCAAATATTTACAAGGGCTGGCTTGAATTCCACTTTTTTAGATCATTTTATGTTTTAGTTTATACATATTCTTAGCTTGATGTAGAAAATTCGAGGTTAGAGGTCAGTGACCATAATTCATATATTTTTGTTGGGTTTCCATCAAGTTTTTCAGTTTTATTATCTCTTTTTTTTTGTGGATAAAACATTATTTTTTCTCCTAAACATATTTCCATTAATCTTAACTAATGATGATACTTGAAATTACTTTTTAGGTTTAAACTTTGTGATAGAATTTTTATTATAGACCTTAGACCTATTCGTTTTGGGTGCTTCATTTTCTCTTGGAGTTTAAACCTTAATTTTTAGGTTATATGACATAATTAAAAAATACATTCTGGTATGTATGAAATATTGATGCACATGTGAATCTTCCACTTACCGTTGAGTCACTTGAATAAGATAACTTCATGAAATAGATAAATCAGGCATACTTCGAAAATTTCTGTTGGGACGTTATAGATCAAGGTTTGGATGATAAGATTGTGTTAGTGATGCCATGGATTCCTATTTCTTAGAGTTGTTTATTACTACCCTGTATAATTGGGGCTACATGCATGGCCTTGGAATGAAGACGTAATCTTAATATATCATAACTTTTAATAAATCTCATATATATACTAGACAACCCGTGACCCGTTGGGTCACCATTATTCAGAGGTTATGAAGAATTCAAGCTAATTTCAATCTTGCACCGAAATGAAGGTTTATTTTGAGATAATTTAATTAAATATTTCAATCCATTCATGTTATTCATAATTCAAGAAAAGATATTTGATTGTTGATCGGGAATAAAAGTAAAGACCATAGTTTCAGGTATTGT